CATTCCAGCACATCATTTCTGATCCTACCTCTAACTCCAGCAAGTTTACAGCCTCAGTTGTAGGGACACCACATGCCAGGAATTGGAGCAGTGAAACGGGTCCCCCAGAGGCACAGGCTCTCTCTCCAGCCCACCGCATGACTTGGGCAAGTCCCTTCACCTGCAAGGGTCCTTGTTTCCTCATCTGTGTAACAGAAATAGTATTGACCTCCTTTATGAATCAAGATCTACTGATGAAAGAGCTGGACCCCCAAGTGCTAGACAGCAGCATGCAGACTCTTTCCCTGCTCCTCCATTGCCCAGGCTTCTCTGTGCTTCTCATGAAGGTAGTGACAGAGCAAACACCTCAAGTCCTCAACGTCCACTGGATGTGCCTCCAGAAGCTGCCGACCATTACCCTTTGTGCAAGTGCAAATGCAATGGGGGAAAGAGGTTGGGGCAGGAGCTGCCTCCCCTTCTGGCCTTTTTTTCTTCTTTCTCCCCCAGCTCAGCTCATGCTTATTTATCTCGCCTCGTGTTAAGGCCACGATTTTACTTTCCTCTTGTGCTTTGAGGTTGGGAAAGCATCTTCTCCCATCCTAGAGTCTTCTGTTTTCCCTGCTCAGATGCACATGGGGTCAGGGAGATGGGCTGAGACCCAAGTACTCCTCCCTGGGGCACAGAAGGAACCCAGCCTTCTGCCCAAACCCTGCTCTCCAGTGAATATCTCCTGCTCTGCAGAGCTCCCCTTTGTCAGGAGGTGGGAGAAGGGGGCAGAGCTGGTCCTCACCATCTCCCTCTTTCCGCTCTATCCTCCCAACTCCTGCTAGTCCAGCAAAATCATCTTCCTCCCTGTCAGGGATGCAGCTTTCCTTTGCCTTGGGGAACACCATCACCTCCTCACACACTCAGCCCAAAATCTCAGTAACCTGTTTGCTGGGTTTAAACTTAGGCTGCTACCCTACTCTGTCCCACCCTGGCCTCTGCTCTCTCTGGGGACGTTGCCAACTCTTTCAAAGCTGCATACAGTCTGTCCCTTCCACCGCTTTGGCTGGAGAGGTGCAGGAAGCCCTTGCACCCAGAGCTTCTTCCCACAGGAAGAGCCCTTCCTGACTGTGGTTTCTGTGGGCACAATGGGTGGTAACCATCAGCGCTAGTGCCTGGCAGAGCCTGTAACAAAGACCACAAGCCCCACATGCACAGGTGTGCGGGTGAAGGTGTGCCCTTATCCTCTCCTCCCATATTCCCATATGGGACACCTCAATACCTGGCACAAAGTGGGATCCCAACCCTATATCTTCACCTACCTAATGCCAGAGAGCACCAAGGGCAGCTGCTCTGCAAGGAAGGAGTCATGGGAGTGGAGCATAACATGGTGGACGGGCAGCGGCCTCACCAGCCAAAGCCCAGACCTGAGCAAGGCGAGCAGGGCAGGTCCCATAGCAGTAACCAGGTTCAGCCTGGACTCCAGACAAGTCCACAGCAATGAGGCAGGTCTGAGGTTAAGTCCCCAGGTCAGGGTCTGGCTCATGGCCCCACGACAGGGCCAGGCGCAGCAGCAACACAGCTGTAACATGGCTTAGGTGGTAACCAGAGCAAACGCTTTGGCTAAAAACAGCTCCCAAGACAAAAGAGTGAAGAGTGGTTTCTCCCCCCCTCCCCCCCCAGGCTTCTTCCAGCTTTTTTTCAAAGTGCTCCAAAGCCACCTCATGCTTATCAAACTGCTTGCTCTCACCAACAAACTGGCCTTAAATACTGAGGGTTAAACTTCTTGGGAGGGGGGTGCAGTCCAGTTCCTGACACAAAAGACATTCCTCAGCCCCCCAAGTTCCTCAACTTTCTTTTCTCTTCCCTCTCTTGCTTAAGCCTTCTTTCCTGCCTTAACCAAGAGTGCAGGTCCAGAGTTGGCATTTTGCAAGCTGTGATACAGAAAACCAGTGCCTACTGGCAGAAGCTGACAGCTGGTTTCCCCCTCTACTTTGTGCCACCTGCATGTGATTTACTTACAATTAGGTAAAATCATACTGTTTATCCTTCCCCCGCCCCACGCTGCAAATCTGGGAGGATCAACAATGCCTGTCCTGAGAGATGTTTGTGAAACCTGTTCTTAAAGACCTCCAGTGATGGAGACTGCACCATCCCCCAGTGATCTGTTCTAGCACACTTCTGACATTACCTGAAAGCCTAACTTAAGTTTTTTTTGTCTGAGCTGAAATCCTTTATATCCTCTCCTGTTTGTTATGGCCGTGGCCTTCTTTGAAATGACCTCTTGGGCACTTGATGACTGTAATATTTCCCTTCCCCTCCTTGCTCTAGCATTCCCTTCTACAGACTACATCAACTTGATTCTTTCAGCCTTTCTTCATGTTTTCTGTGCCTCCCAAGCATCCTCACTGACCTCTGACTTTTTTTCTGTTGATCTGCATTTTTTGAAGCACAGTGTCCCAAGTTAGGCATATTACTCCAGCTTGTCTTGGAGGCTATGCTCCTGGCTCATGTGCTCCAGGGTGGTGTTTGCCTTTTCCGTTGCTGGTGTTTAGTTTGCTCTCCATTATACCTTCTACTCTTTTTTGAAAAACTGCATCCACTCAGTTCCCTCACTTGTATTTGTATTGCTCACTGTTCATAAAGGTAATGCTCAAAGTTGTACCTGTTGAATTTTGCCCTATAGGTTTCAGCCCATTTCTCCTGTTTGTCAGCCTAGTGCTGAATTCTGTTGTCTTTGCTGTCCTTCACAGCCTGGAGTAATTGCAGGTTTAATAAGGCACTCATGGGTGTTAATCATCCAGGCTGTTAACTGAAGTAATTAAAAAGATCTGGTGTCAGAACGGACCCCTGCAAAAATCCCTTCAATATGTCCTTCCATTTTGACAACCACTGATAATTAGCACTTGAGGTACAATTATCTCACCAGTTTTGCACTCACCATGTGGTCATCTTTAACAGCCAGTGTTAAAAACCTTCCTAAAGTCAACATACATGACATCTGCTATTTTTCACTTTACACCTAAAAAATTGTGCCATACCAGGACATCAGACTGGTTTGTCAGCATTTGTTCCTGATGAGTTCACGGTGGATGTTGTCTATCCCCTTGGTGTACTCTAGGTGCATACAAGTGCCTTGTTTAACAAGTTGTTCCAGAACTTTTCTGGGAATTGAGAAGGACTTTAAATTAGGATTAAAGAAAGCAGCTGACAAAGCATAAACAAGATCAGTTTGGGTGAGCTCTATAAAACTAATGAGGTAGGAAGAAGGTTGTTAATAAAGGATTATAATAAGGACAAGAAGGAGGGCAATCTATTGAACACTTTAGACATGTATCCCCTGAAGTTAGTGAACATGGGGCTCCTCCCCGTCTCAGTAAGGTGGGCTCCATCCTTTCCTGTTCATGGCACCTGACTCACCAGTTAAAGCAACTAAAACCAAAGCCCTTTTGGCAATATCACCTGTGTAACCATGCATTTATCTGCAGGTGTCCCTATTTGAATTGCAGTCAGGGTCGTGGGGCCAGGAACACACCATAGGCCCCAAGCCCTTCACCTGTCCACCTGGAGCCTCTTAACCAGTTTTGGTCTGATCAAAACCAATCTGTGGTCACTCATGGCAGCAGCAGCGGTGTCCACGAGGTTGAGTGCTATTATGGAATGGGTCATTAGGATGGGTGACTACGGCAATGTTTCAGTAACATCTCTGGTACAGGCTCTTGAGAACCAGCCTGGTTCTCCCAATATCACAGCTTGGCTGCTGGGTCCATACCTGCAGCACTCTCATTTGAAAGCCTCTGTCCTTTATGGTTGGCATTTTCTCACTGAAGTTAAGCTCGGGCTTCTATGGGCTAAGTAGCAGACTCCAGAGAGGCATAAGGAGGGAAAATGTTTTATCTAATATTGAGGAACTGATTTTCAAGTAGCTCAAATTATACTCAAGGGTACTAAATGTTCTTGGCCTCCCTCTTATGGGAGAAAGCAGTATTGCTGGAGACTCTCTGCAGACAAACTGTCCTCTGTCCACAGAGAGGGGGTGTTTATAGGAAGTGCTCGTGATAGTTGGTAAAGCTTTAAAGTGAACAGCCTGGACCTCTTCTTTGCAGTAAGCACACCAAACACTAAAAATCCTTTATATTTCTGAAACACACTACAGCCCGATTGCCTTTGAATTAGAGCAGCAAAGAACGAGACAGATTCCAATACCACAGTTGGTAAACTGCTCCCCTCCTTCCCACCCTATCCTCACAAGAGACAGACGGGCCTTTTGCCCGCTCTTGCTCTTGCGTCACTGAACTTTGCTCACTTACAGGGTTGCCAAACCCTCCATGCCGTCCCTTTCAAGTGCCCAGGAGGAGCTGCTTTCTGCCAGCCCAGCAGCCCCTTCCCCTCACAGAAGTCCTGTTCCCCCCCAACAGGGCCCTGGATGTGCCTGTCTGTTTCTCTCCCTCTCTCCCAGTCTCCACCAGTTTCCCACAGCTGCTCTCCAGAAGCTGCAGTCTCCCCTCCAGACCTGCAGCCCAGCCCAGCATGTGATGTGGCAAACAGCAGCCCAGCCGTGGCACAGAAACCAGGTGGGCTGTGCAGGTTTGTGCAATAACCTGTGACTGGACAAATGAGAGTCATAAGAGTTCAACACAGCTGAATTTTTTTTTTGCAAGATCAGCTAATACAGTTGGAAAAAATGGACAGTAATTCATAATTTTGTTTCCCGCATGAAGAGGAGCTGGTGTGCCTGAAAGGCTTCTCCGTTTTTATTTTTCTATCATATAAATTACTCTAATGAAAGATACAGTCTCTTACATTCTTCTCGCTATTCTTAACACCACTGTTACTTTTTAATCTTTGACATTTCCATTTTCCAGCCAGAGATACCTCCTCTCCCTTAGAAAACACATTCAAAAGCCTATTGCTGACATAGAAACAAAGCATGAAAGTGATTCATTACTAGAGCATGTTACTAGGTTCATTACTAGAGCACTGCTCCTACCAAGGTGAGGGGAACGGACTAAAGATCTGGGGACAGAGGTTACACCATGAAGACAAACATCACTGAGTGCTCTGCGGTGAGGTCCTGCCTCCTTAAAAAACCCAACCAGGAGTATGATGTAGTTCATGGTGCCTTAGCGAGGGAGTGCAGCTCCATGGGGACCTACTGAGAAATTGCAGGGACATTTGGACTGTTGCTCTTGCTCATCCATGCATCAGGCTGGGTTTGGGAAGAGGAGAACAAAATGTGGAGTGTCGTTCCCCAGCTTTCTTTTAAGCATTTGTAGTCCCTTCCTGGAGTGCTTGTAAATAGGAAAGTTGTACTTAAGGGCACCTGTAGACAGTGGTTTAAATTTCCTGGGCTTTGGGATGGGAATGTGACTCAATTTAAATGTCGGGAGAGATTTAGTTGTAGTGAACATGGCCTGCTGTTCTGCCTGCAGCTGCCAGCAGTTGTTTAATGTACAGAATAACACAATTATTATGAACCATACAGCCTACTCAGTGGAGCTGTAACAATGGCAGCCATTTACAAAGATGGCTCTTACTTCTCTGTGACTTTCTCTGCAGTAATTTCATCTCTCATAACCTGCTCAAGGAAAGACTCAGTTAAAAATAACAGAAGATGAGCATTAATCCTCTCCACAAATGTGGACACATTCACATGTCCTCCACATAATGGTTCAGCAAGACCGAATTTTGTTGGGGGCTGAGAGGGCTGTATTACGCTGTTGCTGAAATCAGTGGGAGAAATTGTCTGACAGAGACTCAGGTTTGGTAGATGGATATGGTAGATATAACATTTCTAAAGGGCCCACTTTCAATTCATCACTAATCATCACTTTTGGTCATAAATGATCAGCAAATGATGAGGCAGTACTATGCTTCTGAGCAACACCTTTTTTGTTCGCCAGACAACACAGTTTTACTGTACAAGTTTGTTCATATGTATTCACGGAGACAAAGATCTAATTCTCTTTCAGGTACATGAATTATCATGGAAACATGGAAATGTTGCTACGAAGGCATGGCTGGAGGTCTCGAGTCCAACAGCCCAACTGAAGCAAGATTGTCACAACATCAGATCAGGTGAGCCATGGCTTTGTCTAGTTAAGACTTAGAAATCCCTAAGGTTAGAGATCACACAGCCTGTCTGGGTCACCTATAGCAGGCCGCACAACCCTCCTGATGAGGCTGTTTCCCTAATGTCTGGTCAAAACCTTCCAAGCCACCATTTGTGGCCACTGCCCTTTGCTATATCATCTGATGCCAAGAAGGAAAATATGTCTCTCATCTCTGGAGCTACCCCACAGGCAGTTACACATTATTACTGGATTTTGCTTCCTTTTTGCCCACTTCTGCTCAAAGGCCACATTCTCTGGACTCTTGACCATCCTGGCCGCCGTCTGCAGGACCCCAGTCCAGACCTTCCACATCCTTCCTCACCGCGGACCCTGGACAGGACCGAAAGTTGCAGATACACCAGCACCAGGTCAAAGAGGGACTAATAACTCCCTGCAATGCGCTGGTCACGCTTCTCTTCACGGAGCCCGGGACGTACTTGGACTTATTTGCCAGAGGAGCTCGCTGATGGATGACCCGTTTATGTGCAGACTGGCTCGTGTTCAGTGATAACAGCCGGTGAAAGACAGAACCCTGGCTTTCCTGTCATTACTGGAATACGCGTATTGCAACCAGCGCCGCGCAGTTCTGTATTTTGGCTCGATTTTGAAAGCAAGCATTTTTCAATCCTCTCTGAAAGAAACAGTAACTGGGAATACGCCACGCAGACCGCCCCGGCGCCCCCGCGGCGACCCTCTCTGCAGCGACACCCCGCCCCCGCCCCGGCGGCCCCGCCCTGCCCC